ATACTGGCCAATTAGCTGAAAAATACTGTCGAAACTCAGCGGTGCCGTCGCGGGATGTTTCAATTCTCGCTCCGATAAGGCCCTTCCCGATTCTTGTTCGATATGATATTTCTATCGTTGTGATCACCGTTTCTCATTTACAGTTTGACCAAAGAAAAACACTAATCGCAATGTGAGTCGGAGGAGCCGCCGCACAGGAGAGCCCAACCGCTGGTGAGTTTTAGTTTTCTACGTTTTTCCGGCTCACCGAGGGTCCTAAGTGTGTTTTCTCATAGGAACCGACGCAAGTTTGGCTGAATTCGATTGAAAATAGCTAATTCGAGGTGGATTGTCGCCGCGAGCAGCGGCGCCGATGCTAGAGCACAGCGGAGCCGCTGTGCCGGAATTTCGAAATTGGTCGAGTAGGCCCTGGGTCTGATTTTTGGGTTATTTGGGACATATGTAGGTACTGTAAGCGCGTTTTAGTTCTTGAGAAAAAATTCAGGGAACCCAGGGATCGCCCGTAGGCGCAATGACAATCTAGTTTTTGGTGTCGAATCAAGTAAGGACCCTTTACCTTATTTTCTATCATGGAATTGAAGTTTGAATAAATGATAATACTGTATTGTGTACAAATTAAATAGATGTGCATAATTAATTATGGTTGCTAATGGAGCCCGAACAAGACATTATTCTCTGTCGATTCCTGTTTGATTTATTTTACAGTTTAAATGTATTATGGTATCTGGTTTATCTATTCTATGATTTTAAATACATATATCACTGCTTACTTTGCTCCTGTTTGATTTTGAGAATCTAAGATATGCTTTCTTTGTTGGATTCACGTTACTTGTTTATGTATTTATGTTTGAATTGGTAAAGGAGATTAAGGACAAATAAGAATGGGATGTGATATGATAAATGGATAAGGTGACAGCCTCACTAGAAATCCTGAGAGATGGTGGATGGACTGGGTTCATAGGGAACCCTACCGTGAACGCCGTTTCATACCGGATGGCGTATGGAGACTTGGTCATTTAGTGCTCATATCGGATGGGGTATGGGGACGACCCGCTTCACCCTCATACCGGACGGGGTATTGAGGTTTAATGTCTTGACACTCATACCGGACGGGGTATGGGGACGGCTCTGGAATTAAGACTGTTAAGAAGAAGGGTTCACGTGTAGCAGGAACACCACTATGGATCTCCATGGATATTAGTGGGCTGGTGAAAACGAGAAACGGTGATAATCAATTATTGTTAATGAATACGGATTTATGATATGTTTTATGTTACTGATTATGCATGAAATTGTGATATGTATGATGTTGTTATCTTTATAGGTTGTTTTCACATGTTCTCCAATGGTAAGAAAAAGGGTAAGTGGTTTTATTTTAAATAAATGTATTGGTTTAAAATTTGTGCTCCATTGGTTATTTTTTGTTTTTCACCAACTTTTGTTTCTGTGACGGTGATATAGTGTGATGTCCTTACTGGGTTAGTGTAGCTCATTCCTTATTTAACCATTTTAGATCAGGAGGACTTGGTTCTCGAGCCTGATCCACAAGAAGACGGTGAGTAGATGCTAGATGCTTTATAGTTTTCTTTATTTTTCTCATTTCTCGTATTTTTTTTGGAGAACTTATTCCGTGATATTGTTTAGCACTTTTAAGTTATTGTGGAAGAGATGTTAACCTTAATCTTTTATTTCGCTTCCGCACTCAGATTATTATATGTATTTCCTTTTGAATTTCTGGGGCCGTTATACACACAGCCAGCAAAGAATACTCAGATTCCTCGCGTAACTGTACTAGATCACACAATAAGTATAGTGCACTGTATATCTGCACTAGATCATGCAGCCAGTGCAGTGCACTCAAATTTCATACA